CCGAGGCCGCTCGGCGGCGCGCAGACGCCGCTTTCCGCGTGCTTCTCGAATGGCGCCAGCAGCAGACTGCCGACCCTCCTGCCCCATATGCAAATGGATCAGAGGGGCCACAGGCGCAGCCCGCCGCTGCCATCCTCGCCGGGAAGCATGGCGTCAAGCACGAGGTCGAGCAGGGCACTTTCGACTCTGCTCTCCATCAGACGAAGCACAATAAGGCCAAAACCGACGCGGCGTCGGGGTGGCAGCTCTTCTTCTGTCTCTACGTTTATTCACGACTGTCGCTGCAGCACTGTCACGGAGATGTTGGGATTGGTGCCATCTTGAAGCATCCGAGGGCGCTGGCTGCCGATGCCGCTGCGGCTCAGGGGCGCCATCTCGACAGTTCCAAGGTTGAGCTATGGGCGAGTAGAGTGGGCACAGCAAGATGGAAGGCTGCCATGCAGGCGGCCCTCCACCGCGCGGGGTGGCACCGCAGGTGGTGCGTTGCAGACGGTGCCCAAGTCTTCAGGCACCCGCAAGCTTGATATCATTGATGCTGACGTTGCTGCTGGGCGGGCGCGTATTCTGCACTGCCGTGGGCTTGTGCCAGGAGGTCTTGCGTTCGCCACGGTGGTTTTGCATCGCAGCCGGGAGCTCGGGCCCAAGAGCTGGCAAAGTTTGACGACCCTTGGCGCAGCCCTGAAGCAGATCGCGATCCCTTGACGTAGTTTGCTGTGGCTTCCAGATGTTGCCAGAGACGTTGGCGGGCTCCGAGTGGACGGAGGCCATGGACGCTGTTTGTGCATCGCCGTCGTGCGCCACGTGTGCCAACGGTTCGCTCGGTGCTGGCATCTGCATCGACCTCCTTGTGGTCTCGCGTTGTTTGCACTGCGGAGCGCGAGCAGAGATCCCGGTCGGCGGCGACACCGCGCCAAATTTCCCGGGTGTCCTCAAGTAGAAGCAGCTGGGTAGCATTGACTCGGACCGCGCGGTCGCCAAGGCCCCCAAAAAGCCGCCCGCGGACATTCCAGTCGGCTGCCGCCGCGAGGGCCCCGAGAAGTATTGGGTCGACTAAAAGATTCAATCCGAGGATCTTGACAGCGACAGTAAGTGGGGGTCGTGGCGCGACACTGCAGAGCGCGATTGGGCCGATGCGTATAATCTTGCCACCGATAGAGACTATGAGTTCTTCGGCAGAGGTGAGGGGCCCAGGTTTTGAGCGCTTCAAGCGCCAAGGGGCAAGGACTTGGCCCCCCCGTGCCCCCGCGCCGAAGCCCTGCGGTGGAGGCTCCTCGCCAGATGTTTCGACGGACTTGCTGTGTGGCACCCTCCTGCGCTTCGCATAGGCAGGCCCCGTCTTGCGCGACGCCTCTGTCGTCGCTCGCCTCGCGTCGAGCGTGAATTCGAGTCGCGGCGCGCAGCCGTGCGCATTGCTGCTTCTTTGCTGCTTATTTGTCGCATTCGTTGGCGCGCGCGCTCGCACAGGTCGCGCGCGTGCGATTGCCGCGCGCCGCGCAGCCGAGCAGGCCAAGAGTCGCAACTGGAAGGCCTGGCTTGAGTCTCGCACGCTCAATGGAGGCGCGGCGCTGCGCGCGCGCGGCAAGCCGGCGGCCCCGCGGCGCGCTGGCAGACTTTCTCCCTCGGGGGCGCCCGCGAATAGTGAGGGGGTTCGTCTCTTGGAGGGGGGGCGTCCTGGGCGGCGGAAGGTCGGCGCCCTCGAGGATGATGTCGTCTGGCCAGACGACGCGGGCCCTGATTTTCCCGAGCCCAGTCTGGGCGATTTGAGACGGGTCTCGAAGATCTTTCCTAGTTACTCGGGTTGCGAGTTTGACCAGATTTTCCCTCAGCAACGCTTGGTGTTTTCTGGCTCGGCCTTCGAAGCCTTTCGGCAGATCTAGCGCGCGGTAGAACGGCCATGCAGCTGGCCAGGGTTCTACGCCAACCTGATTTTTCTTGCCATGCGGGATGGGGCATCAGGCCCATGGCCCTCGCCCGCATCCTGGACCGAGCGCAAGGGCGGCCGGCCCCGCGGCACCCTCGCCGGCAAATTGCAAGCCGAGCACCCGCGCCCACACTGGCGGGCCACCAGCGGCCGCAGCAGTGACAGTCTCGCGTGGATAAAAGCCGCCAGCTCGGGGTGGGCCCCAGAGCGAGGTTTCTCGAGCGCGCTCATTCTTCTTGATGTGCAGAGGGCGTTTCGTTTAAACACGTTCGCCACAGTGAGCTGACACGTGCTGCGTCCGAACATGCCCGCGCCGCCCCGCCGTGCCCCGCGCGCCCCATCGATGGGCGACGCTGTTTCCAGTTCCAGTCCCGCTTGCGCGCCGCAGGCGGTCCTTCCAGGGTGTCATTTCGCGACCCTCGTGTTGCAGATGCTGCTCCTGGGGCTAGCGAACAGAGTCCTTGTGTGCCATCGATTGGTTCAGCTCGGAAATGTCGTAGAAGACTTTGGACTTTGCCAGGTGGGAAGGCCGCGGGGCCTCGCCGACCTGGTCGACGCCGCCAAGATGCTGCGCGCTGAGCTGGACCAGATATACCCCCCCTGTCGCTCGTCGGAAGAGCCGCGTCGCTGCGCCGCCCCCCTCAGTCCGAGCTCAGCTGGCGCGCGAGCCTCGTTTCATGTGCCAGGTGCCTGCGGCGAGCGCAATCTCGGGGTTGATTTTGTCGCTGCCGCCGCCATCGAGCCTCGGTCGACTAGGCAAAGGCGCGAGGGCCCAGCTCGCGCTCGGGCTCGCAAGCTCATGCACGTTGCCAAGCATGTGCGGCAGTCTCGTTTGCGCGCCATGCTGCGGGCTGCCGCCTTGACCTCCGTCAAGTATGGGGGCAACGCGCACGGCGCCAGCAGCGTGGCTCTGCGCGAGGCAAGGGCCACGCAAGCCCACCTGCAGAATTTCAGTCTTGCGGGCAAGCGTGTTTCTCTCATGCTGATGTTGTCGTCGGAGCGTCTTCGCGATCCCGCCTGCGGGATGCAGCTTAACCATCTAGCGAGCGTTGCCGTCGCGGTCTGGGACGAGCTGCTTCTTAGGAGAGTGCTACTCCAAGGGCTTGTTTCCGCGGTGTCTGCGGTTCGGGACCATGGGGCTCCCTGGGCCGCTGTTCGTAAACCATTTACTGCGTGCGCGGCCACCGCAAAACTGCCCGGTCTCTGCATGGGCGGCTTTGCCTGGAGCTACGAAATGCATGACAGGGCCAACCTTGTGGAGCAATCTCCGCGCGCGGTGCGAACATGATCGTATTTGTCATTGAGCAGTGATTGCGGGGCAAGGTTGCCGATCGCGAGGGCGTCTCTGAGCTTGTCAATGGAGCCTACCTTGCCCCACTCCGCTCCTTCCTGCAAGGTTCCACCCTTTCCCCACAGGAGAAGGGATACTTGCGCTCTGTGGTCGCTGGGGGGCAGTGGCCCCAGCGCTGCCAGTGGGAGGCTGGCCTAGTCCAAGACAGCGCCTGTCAGGCGTGCCTAAGAGGCCCCAGGCACTTTGTTGCACAGGCATGCTGCGTGCGGGAGGCATGGGGAATTGCAGGCCGTGGCCTAACCGCCCGCGTTTGCCTTCTGCCTCTTTCGTGCCTCAATCGGCCCCCTTTCCTCGCTCGGTCGCCGAGAGGCTCCTGGCCCCCCTCTCGCCCTTGCCCCCCTTTCGACATCCGCCGCTCCGATGGTTCGGAGGACCTGCGGAGATGGGAGGGCATATCTTTCTTGATGGCTCTTGGATGGATCAGCATCTCCCGGTGCCATCCCAAGCTGCAGCGTGGGCGCTCGTTGCCGTGTGTCCCGACACGCACCGAACGCATTCAATTTTCCGTGGCACGCTCGACCTTGGACTCGCCGATATCGATGCTGCCGAGCTCGTGGCCCTCTTTCGTGCCCTACAGCACGCCACGCCGGGTTCCACGCTGTACACCGACAGCGTTTTCGCGCACGATGGCCTGTATGCGCGCGGGCGCCAGCACTGCACCTCTTCACGCTCCGCATGGGCAGAGATCTGGATCCAAGTGTGGGAGCGGGTGGAAGACTGGGGGGGGTCGAGCACGTCTTGTTGCCAAGGTGCTTGCGCACTGTACGCGTGCTGCTGTGCAGAATGGGCGCACCACCGACTGGTTGAATGCTGGGAAGGGCTTGGCGGACGAGTGCGCTCAGTGGCAGTGCTCGCGGTTTCGCATCCCTGAAAACGTTCGCATGGTTTCCGAGAGCAGGGCCAACATTTTACTCTCCTGGGCTTCTTGGGCGGCCCAGATCGGGCCGCCCATGGCCGACCTTGACGCTTCCCATATCTCGAAGCGGGCAGCCAGCAACGGCAAGGCGCAACAGCTGCAGGCTGCACCCGCGTTTTTTTTGTTGCCCCACGGTCCTGCACGCCGCCAATGATCTCACGTGGCGACACAGCGCACGTGCGTGTTGCTGGCGCTGGAGGTCGGCAGCATGCCGCGCACTCGTTCCAAGTTGTGGGGGGCCAGTGATGTGTCGTGCGCTGCGTGTGGTCGCCAAAGAGTGCCCAGGGCCGCAACCCCACGGTTCCTGGGGCGCTCGTGTGCTAGCCAATCTCGCCAAGTGGCGGTCAACAAGGAAGGGCGCAGCCCTGTACAATCTTTAGTCGTTTCCGAAACCCTTAGACTGGGTGAAGTCTTCGGAACTTGGGTTTGGAAAGCGCCGCCCGTCTGCGCCTGCAGACGGTGGCGCGAGCGGCAGTCAGGCGCCACCCACGTCAGCGGCGTCGGGGGTGTCACCGGCAACGGGCGCCACCCACGCGCGCTGGCGTGGTGGCGCAAATGGCATCGAAGCATGTGGGACTCACGATGCGTCGCGGCTTTGTCGGGGGGGGGAAGGTGGAGCAGAAAAGAAGGATGAGCGGAAGCGAAGAAGATGGAGGAGGAAGGACCAGGAACAGGCGGAAGGAGGAGGACAGACCGAGGAGGACGGGGGAAAGGAGGACGGGAGGAACGGGGAGAAGAGCGCCGGGCAGGCGAAGGGCCGAGGAGCAGGAACGACGACGACGACGGCGGCAGGCCAGCGACGACGTCCGCGCCTGCACAAAGGTGCAGAACTCGTCGAACTCGATGGCGCCGCTGCCGTCCTCGTCCTGCGCGCGCCCAGCATGGGCGGGCGCGGCACGCCGCCGCCGCCGCTCGCCGCCGCCGCCGCCGTGGGCACCGCCGCCGGCGGCGGCGGCGGCATCGTCGTGGCCATTGGTATCGTTGTCGTCGCCGTCAGGGGCGTGGCAGCCAGAGAAAGAGAGAAAGAGAGGGAGAGACATAATGCGAAGTCATCGAATGTCAGCTTGTGATTAGTAACAAATCCGTCGGGGGCGCGTGTTTTGAAACATTGCCCCCTTGCTCGGGCGAATCGCGGGGTGGCGCCCGTCATATTGAAAATCAACGGGGCGGCGCCGGTGATTAGCGCCGACGCCCGGCCGTCAACGACGGGCAAAGGGGGGGGGGTTGGAGACAGCGGCGAGCCAGGGCGCCCTTCTTTCTGTCGAACCGATGCGGGCCTGCGGGCAAGGCGCGTTGGACTAAAGCTGGGCGCAGCAAGCGGGGGATTTGTAGCTCACGTCGCCGATGTTCCAAACGCCTCCTGGCGCCGGAAGCGGCCATGCGTCGAGGACTGGCCCTTCGGCGGGCCGTCGTCGCCGCCGTCCCCCGCCCTGCCTGCGCCCGTTTCCAGAGGCCGCTCTCTTCGTCGACGACGACGACGACGACGGGACGAGGACGAGGACGACGGATGGCGGACGGCAGACGGCGACGGCGGCGGCGACGACGACGATGCACTGCGGATGCCCTATGGAGGGGGGGGGCTGCGCAGGCCCGCTGTAATCAACGACGACGACGACGAAAACGAAGACGACGACGAGTACGACGAAAAAGAAGACGACGACGACCGACGGCGGCGGCGGCGGCGGCGACGACGACGACGACGACCACGCCTGGGGAACGAAAGTGCGCCTCAGATGTGTACGGCCCTTATAACAACTTCTATACGAAAGGCATTCGTTTTGAGGCTGTCATGCAGGAGGGTACGCGATCCCCTCGGCGGTGCCAGTGACGACCCCCTGGCGCGCGTGCTTAAAAAAAGGTTTCGCGCCCCGCGGGGTCTATTCATCAGCCCCGGGGGATGATGGGCCTTTTGCTACTCTAATCACGAGCTGACGTTAGCGGAAGGAGGACGGCAAGGACTGGGCTGCGGAGGACGGCATTTCCTCCTCCCCTCTTGCGCTGGCCGTCATCACGCTGTATCGGGTGGGACCGGTACTGCCCTCTTCCTCTGCCTCTTCCCTCCCTCTCCTCCCTGGAGAGGAGGGGGGCGAATAGGTGCAGGAGGGAGGGGTGCGGAAGGAAGAGGTACAGGGGGGAATCAGGAGGAGGGAGAAGCTAGGAGAAGTGGGGGGGAAGAGAAGGGAGGTGGAGAAGGTCTGATTGAACTGAGCCAAGGCAACAGCAGGGCCGGTCTGCCACGCTCTTCCGGTATGAAGGCAACGGGCGCAGAAAACTCCGAGGTGGGGTCGCCTGCTAGGGTGCGTCGCCAGGCGCACGGAGCAGTACTGAGAAGTCATGTCGTTACCGCAAACCTGCAGAGCAATGAGGTACCGCCAGAACAAGGAGTCCACTCGTGAGGTCCATACTTGTTTCGGGGTGGGGATGCAGCTTGGTGTCTTGGGCGGGCGAGTAAACTTTGATGAGCATTACCCCATCCAGGCGAGTCATCTGCGAGACTGGCATCAATTTTGCCCAACGCTCGACCACATTACGCACAACATGGATCAAATCGGGAGGGAGGGGGAAAAGGGAAGGGGGGGAAAAGAGGGAAGGAGCGAGGGAGGGGAATACGGAAACATACAATGACATAAACATACAACTCTGAGGTCCGCGCGGATTCCTTGGATCGGCGCTGGGCCCCCCTCCCTGGCGCGCGGAGCGCGCCATGAACGGTGCCGGAGGCGCCGCCAGGGAGCCACAGCGCGGATCCAAGAATCCCCGCGGACCTCAGAGCTTTTATGTTTATGCCATTGGTCGTCCACCTAGGGAACGAGGGGACGGACGCACGGACGGACGCCGGCGCATGACTCCGCGAGAGAGCGGCCAGGGGGCCCCGAGCCAGCTCACTTCTTGATGCATTCATCCTTCAGCATATCCCGCATTGGTGGCTTTGCCACTTGTGCCCAACTGCCGAAGCAGTGGCTGCCTGCAGCATTAGTCCGCCCAAGGACAGGGAGGAGGGGATGGAACAGAACAAGGCAAGACGACGGCGGCATTGTCGTCGACGACGACGTCCCGACCACGCAGGCCGCCACTTCCGCAGGCCTGCTGGCGCGCGGCGCGTCGGTTTGAGGGCCACCGCTGGGGCCTTCGACGGCCGGCCGAAGTGGCTCGGGCACCCCTCGGAACGCTCCCTTCTGAGCAGGGACCCACCGTCCCGGCATGCCTACAGGCCTACCACGGCATGCTTTCAGACCCCGGGAAGAGTGCTCTGATGACGAAAACATGGCTCTCATAAAACACCACGGCCCCAGCCAGAAATGTTATGAGAAAACTTGGTGCAAACCACACATGTGTTCTAGAACCTTTTTACTGTGGGGGCCTATAGGCAAGCCGAAACGCCTCGTCACTGCTTGTCACTTGACGAAGCGCAGAGACTGGAAAACACCCCGAAACGGGGAGACCTCCAGGAACCGACGAACATCCGAGCACGTCGTCGCCAGCGTCAGCGTCAGCGTCACCGTCGTGCCGTCGTCACCGTCGAGCCCGCGGTCCAGTTTTGCAAAGACCAGCTTGAGCTCGCTGTCGGTGCAGGAGCCCTGCCGGCCGGCTCGCGCAAACGGGATGCAAAAAGTTGGGAGGGGGGGCGGACCAGTGTAAATGAAGGGGAACTGGGACACACAAATAAATACACACAAATAAAACTATCCCCCATATTTTCTCATATTTTCTGGGTTTCTGTCTTCCCCCCCACTTCCCATATTTTCCTATATTTTCCTGGGAGTGGGCGATTAATTGTGTCTGTGTGATTTTTCCCCTCTTGAGTAAACCCGAGATGCATCAACTATGTTGCAACAACTGTTCCCTCCAAATTCACTGGGGGAAAAAGGCACATTCGATGGCAACCGTCTGAGAATCACCAATCGTGCCAAAACACCACTTCGTGGAAGTTCAATGCGGCGGCTGCATGTGAATGCTGCGTCTACTCGATCCTAACCCGCACCAAGTCAACATTCCTGGGCCAGAAGCTGCGAAGCAACGCGACTATTTTGCCACGGCAGTCCGAAAGAGTGCCAGAAGATCACTCCATGGAAGAATACGAGCACGAATCCAGGAAGCTGTTTGGATTTTGAAAACGAATGCGACCAGACTGAGGCGAAGACCACATTTCGAAAAGGAGCGGCGCTAAAGCGAAGGCCGCATTCTGAGAAGGAACCACCCTCCATCCTTGAAGTTGCTGCGAATGGTTACGACGAGTGTAAGCGGTCCTACGGCCCACGGCGGGAGGCACATCCTGAAAATATTGCGCCCTCCATCCTTGAAACGGCTGCGAACTTTGAAAACGAACGCGCGCGGCGCTGGGGCGATAGGCACATTTTGAAGACGACCCGCCGTCCATCCGCGAAGCTGCTGCACACCCGCCGTCGACCCTTTTGCAAAACACCCGCCGTCGATCCTTGAAACTGCTTCAACTATCATGCTGCAAATTCGTCAACATGTTGAGAAGGTCTCAAGCGAAAAGTCTGGTCCGCCATGCTGACGCCTCTGTGGGCGCGAAACGGAAGAATGCAGCGGATGGAGGGATGGGGGATGTAGGACAAGGGATGAGCACTATGAGAAAAAGGGATGGAGGGATACGCGGGGGACGGAGGGGAGTAGGGATCGATGGGCGTGGGAAAGGGGATGGAGGGAAAAAGGGTGGGGGAAACGCGCGAGAGGAGGAAAGGGATTTGCCCGGGAAGAGCGCATGGAACATATAAGGAGAAGGCTTCGGCCACGTGGCCCTCCTTTATGCTTGCGACCTGCTTGCGCGCTTTGGGCACCTAGTCCTCTTGCTTGAATGCTCTGGGCGCGTGCCCCTCCTTGATCCTCGCTTTCTGGCGTATGCTCGCTGCCCTTGGGTCGGTGCCGCAGCTGTCAGACGCCCGTCGCGGCTGCCCAGATCAGTCGCCGCGAGTGCGCGCCCGACCCCCGGGGCAGGGGCAGTGGCCGCAGCAGCGGCTCCCAGCCCGAGAGGGCGCGGCAAGCGGAAGACCTCCTGCCGACTCCGCCCCCCTGCCGCGGCCGAGCACCGCCCCCCCTGCAGCTCCGCTGCCCGGGCCCGCGGCATCGGCGGCAGCAGCCGACGGCGCAGGCCCCAGCAGAGGCCCCTAAACAGCGCGCGTGGCCAGGGGCGGTGCGAAGGCCATTCCTGCTTTAGCTGCGGCGTGCGCGCGGCTGGGAAACAATCCCCAACGCAGTTTGGATCGCTGGGTTTTCAACCCCTGGCGCCTCGAAGCATCGCGCGCTTCTTGGAGGCCCCTCGCAGACGCATGCGCCGAGCCCCCACAATCTGCGCAACGGAAGATGTCGGAGGTCCTGGCCAGGGCCCGGCGCAGCGGCTAGCGCCAGAGTGCCCCCGCGAGTCCCAGGGGGCTTCCGAAGCCGAAACAACAGGTCCATCAGAGTGACTTGACTGCCCAGGGGTGCAGGCAGGAGGGGGGGGCCGAGCAGCAGGGACAGCCTCGCACCCCTCGGTCAAGGACCTATCCTCGAAAGGCGCCACCCATTCCCCCAGACAGGCTTGAACTAAGGCCCGAGGCAGACCCCCTTCCAAAACGACCTCCCCCGCGCCGACGAATTCCCGAGAGTCGAGTTGCCCTGGTTGGCCGAAGAATTCCGGGCATTTGCTTCGCCGCCTAACAGTATCATCGGCGACGCGCTCGCAGCCTGCAAGGACATCGAGCCGATCCTGCGAAACACTCCGTGGACCGACTCCCCGTTTGGCCCGCTGATCGGCCTTCGCACTGCCTGCAACTAACCACTCATCATGGTCTGGAGTGGCAGATGCAAAAGCTCCTGTGAGCATCAACCTTTACGAGCGCGAGCTTGCCTGCCAGTGCCGCGTCACCAGTGCTGCCGCGCGCGCCCCCTCGGGCCGCCGGCGCCGGAGGACGCGCTGGCGCCACTGGCGCAGTTCAGATTGCCAGAGCAATCAGCGTACACCCTGCGAAATGCTTAACAAATCATGGGTTAAGAAACTCAGAGTCTCAGAATTTGAATAAAAACCCAGAACTTCTATCAAAATCTTAGGATTTACATTGAACCATTAAGAATAATCGAGACTCTCGCCAAAAACTTAAGTTTTCTTAAGCATCGCCTAAGGTGTAGACAACAAATTCGCGGTTATCCGATCATTCACAAAACGAAGAGAGCAATCCGAAATTCTGAAAGCTCAGCCCTCCTCGCCCCGAGCCGCCCGTCCCGGGGCCGCGCGGAGCGGCGCTGCGCCGCGCGCGTCGCCGATGGCGTTGCCCGCGCGGTCTGTCTGAATAGCAGAACGCCCTGCGCGTCGGAATCCCTGGAGGCGAGATTGGGAAGCCGACCCGCCAACGAACGCGCCGCCCTGGAACCTCTCCGCCCAGGGGGCGTGCGAGCGAAGCGAAGCTGGCTTGCCTCGGGGACCTCCGCGCCATGAACACAAACGGGCGGGGAGCGAAAGGGGCATCCAGCAACAATTTCCCTGGCCTCCTCACCTAGCCGATGAGCGCATCTGCCAGCCCTGAGGACGCGCTGGCAGCACTCTTCCCTCCTGATGTCCGCGCGTCTGGGGCAATCGTGAGACCTGTGCCAGCGAGTGCCACGCGCGCCGCAGTGCGCGCGCGCGTCCGAGCACTCCTTGGCGCGCGCGTACAAACGAGCCCGCTGCCACTGCGAGCCCCCGACGCATCTCCTGGCCGCCGAGGCTTGGCGCCGGACCGAATATCAGAGAAATCCCGTCCTTAAAACAAGGCTAGGATTGGGATAAATCGCTCCAGAGCGTGCCGGAGCGCTCTCAGAGCGTTCCGGAACGCTCTGGAGCGGCCGCGGCGCCCAATACATCCTCCAAACCCGCCGATTCTCAGAGATTTCGAGTTATCCCGATCCGATTTTGTCCCGATCTTTGCGTCGTTTTAGTCCTACCAACCTGCTGGCCGGCCCACAATGGAGCGGGCGAGTCAAGGCCGGCCGGGGGCGGGCGAGGGCGCCAGCGCCCGGCGCCTGCGCGGCCAGGGGCCTGGCCAGGTCCACGAAACAGGACGGGCAGCACCGCCGATCTGGGCGCCCCCGCGCCCAGGGCGCTTCGGGAAGACAGCGCCCGAGCCCTCCTGCACGGCACTCCCGCGCGCAGGCGACGCCGCCCCCGTCGGGGGCCATGAGCGACGCGCGCAGCAACTTCCGGGCGCCGTCGCACGTGCCAGGGCAGATGTGGGCATGGAGCGGCAGCGGGGCAAATTTCAACTGCTTCGAAGGAATTGCGATTTGCGCGTTGCCGATTCCGCTGGGAACCCATCTCTCCCACAAGGGAAATGAAATACTTCGGGGGGCGCGCTGTGCGACTCAGGGAACACGCAGGAGGAGTCGGGCAAAGAATCGGGCGCTGCGCGGGGGAATTACCAGCGGTGCGAAGGCGCGAACGCGCGCGCCAATCAGCGCGCCGCGGAAATTGGAACTGTTTTGGGCACTTACCACTACGAAATTAAAATATTACGTAGCACACCGCAATTGCGGATAAGAGTGAGGGGGCGGGCGCGGGGGGGATCGCTGGTGGGCCACCCGGAACGAATGCAAAAACAGCCCGCCGCAGGCGCCGAATTTTTGGCTTGTTCAGTGAACGTAGTTTGGGTCGCGGGTGGGTCGCGGGCTCCTCCACCTCCACCTGGAAGGAATTCAGAAACAGCCCGCCGCAGGCGCCGAAAGTTTTGATTTGTACACTGAACGCGGTTTGGGTCGCAAGTTCTCCAGCTGGAACGAATGCGAAAAGAAAACCTGCCGCAGACGCCGAAATTTTGTCTTGTTCTGTGAACGTAGTTTGGGTCGCGGGTGGGTCGCGGGTTCTCCACCTCCACCTGAAAGGAATTCAAAAACAGCCCGCGCAGGCGTCGAAAATTTTGGACTTGTACACTGAAAGCGGTTTAGGTCGCGGGTTCTCCACCTTGAACGGATGCAAAAGAAACCCGCCGCAGGCGCCGAAAATGTTGGGTGGGTCGCGGGGTGGGTCGCGGGTGGGTCGCGGGGGGGTCGCGGGGTGGGTCGCGGGGGTCGCGGGCGCGGTTTGGGCCGCGGGTGGGTCGCAGGTTCTGCACCTGGCGCCGCAGGCGCCGAAAATTTTGGGTAGGGTAGGGTCGCGGGTGGGTCGCGGTGGTGGGTCGCGGGTGGGTCGCGGGTGGGTCGCGGGCGGGTCGCGGGCGGGTCGCGGGGCGGGTCGCGGGTGGGTCGCCGGTGGGTCGCGAGTGGGTCGCGAGTGGGTCGCCAGGGTTGGTCGCGGGCGTGTCGCGGAGTGGGTCGCGGGTGGGTCGCGGGCGGGTCGCGGGGTGGGTCGCAGGTGGGTCGCCGGGGGGGTCTCGGGGTTGGTCGCGGGCGGGTCGCGGGGTGGGTCGCGGGTGGGTCGCGGGTGGGTCGCGGGGTGGATCGCGGGTGGGTCGCGGGTGGGTCGCGGGTGCGTCGCGGGTGCGTCGCGGGGTGGGTCGCGGGTGGGTCGCGGGGTGGGTCGCGGGTGGGGCGACGACAACAACAAACAACAGCAACAGCAACAGCAACAGCAACAGCAACAGCAACAACAACAAGAACAGGAGCAGCA